CTGCTCCAAAGCACTCTTCATTTTCAAACATAATAAGAAAATGCTGAGTTTGTCTTGTACTATAGAGTCTAGACTGAAAGCTCCAGAAGAATAGGAACTATATCTTTCCTGTTCCTAAAACCACTTTGCTGTAGCATTTCTGTGGCTCACTGGAATATATTATCAGCAGTGACAGAAATATTGCTCTATTTTGGATGAATACTCTTGCTGTGTTTATCTGAACATGCCCCATCTTCAGAATCCTATTCCTGTACATGTATATATGCAAAATTTTCTATAGTAATCACTTTTTTCTCTAGCTATTGCCCTGCTTATGACTTGTGTCCCTACAGTTCTAAGTTACCTCTTTTCATATTACCAGATGTTTCATATATCAGCTTAATGTTCTGTATATGTTCCTTTTTATGTCATTCATTTTCTATTCTTTCTTGATCTGGAGCTGAATTCTGAAATGGTATTCTTAATTGGTTTCTTTTTTATTTTGTATGATTTTTTTTTTTTTTTGGTATCATTGTCTGAATAAATCTTTGATGGTAGCATTTTCCTCTTCATATTCTTTTGCTTTAAATCATTGTTCACATTGGTGTTTTTTCTTTTTTTGAATCAATTCAATGAATATGGATAATAATCTCTGTCATCATGAGCACCTCTCATTTATTGAAGCAGTTCCTGAGGATATTTTTGAGAAGCATAAGGGAAAAACAAGAAGGAAAGACATAAATAAAAGGAGTTAGAGAAGAGAGATGTGGATGGAAATCTTGGGAGCTGGAAAATGATGCTCATCAGTGAAAATTCTTGCTGTAGTGAAAATAATTTTTCAAATAGTGACAACTATGTTGAAAGTTCTCATTCTTGCTTTGGTGTTTTATAAATTGACCCTTTATTATTTTCTATATCTACTCCCTAAAATATGTTATTTATTTACAAGTTTTTACTTTGCGGTAGCTTATAGTGTTTCCTATTCTCGTCATCTTGAAAGTATTGGTTGATACTCTTACTAAGCACAACATTGGTACAGTAGATTCTATTTTTTTTTTTAATAAAAATTTTTGTGCCTGATCCAGTGTAATTACAGAACAGTGTAAATATAGAAGTGGCAAGGACCAAACATAAGGAGAAGAGATTAAGAAGAGGTGGCAAGAATGCATAGAAGAACTACACAAAAAAGGTCTTAATGACCTGGAAAACCATGATGGTGCAGTCACTTAACCTAGAACCAGACATCTTGGTGTGTGGAGTCAAGTGAAGTCAAGTGGGCCTTAAGAAGCATTATTATGAACAAAGCTAGTGGAGGTGATGGAATTCCAGCTGAGCTATTTTAGTTGCTAAAAGATGATGATAAAGTGTTGCACTCAGTATGCCATCAAATTTGGAAAATCAGCAATGGCCACAGGACTGGAAGAGATCAGATTTCATTCCAATCTCAAAGAAAGGCAATGCCAAAGAATGTTTAAACTGCCATAGAGTTGTGCTCATTTCACATGCTAGCAAGGTAATGCTCAAAATCCTTCAAGCTAGGCTTCAACAGTATGTGAACTGAGACCTTCCTGTTGTACAAGCTGGATTTAGTAAAGGCAGAAGAACAAAGATAAGTTGCCAACATCCAGGTCCATATAATGAAAGCTATAGTTTTTCCAGTAGTCATGTATGGGCGTGAGAGATGAACAATAAAAAAGGCTGAGCACTGAAGAATTGATACCTTTGAACTGTGGTGCTGGAGAAGACTCTTGAGAGTCCTGTGGACTGCCAGGAGATCAAATGAGTTAGTCCGAAAGGAAATAACCCTGAATATTCATTGGAAGGACTGATGCTGAAGCTGAAGTTCCAGTACTTTGGCCACCTGATGAAAAGAGCCAACTCATTGAAAAAGACTGATGCTGTGAAAGACCCTGACACTGGCAAAGATTGAGGGCAGGAGGAGAGGTGGGCAGCAGAGGATGAGATAGTTGAATGGTATCACTGACTCAATGGACGTGAGTTTGAGCAATTTCCAGGAGATTACAAAGGACAGGGAAGCCTGGCGTGCTGCAGCCCGTGAGGTCCCAAAGAGGTCGGCATGACTTAGCAACTGAACAACAACGGTATAATTAAGGCAAATAGTCTTCTTTTACTCCTTTATAAGCATGGATCAGTTCTCTTTATCAGTATCAATCAGTTCTCTTCATTCCGAATTTAAAGTATTTCCAAATCCTATAACTTTCTGAAAATAGAATCACAGAGTGATGTTGCCATAAGGTTTCATGACAGAATTTCACTCATTTTATCCTCTATCCCTCTGCTTCCTAATAAAGCACCTAGAATAGCATTTTTCATATTTGCATGTGCATTTGAATTCACTGAGGGTTTTGTTAAAATATTGATTAATAAACTGATTTAGAGGGTCTGGGGTGGGACTCAAGATTCTGTTGTTCTAAACAGTCTATCCCAGGTGATGCTAGTGTAGTTGATGTGAGCCACATTTTAAGTATCAAAATTTAGGTAGTACCTAAAATTGCTCATGCTTGGTAGCAGTTTTATCTATATCATTGCCTAGAGAAATACAGGCTTTCACCTGAACTTGTTATTTTGGTGTCTGAGAGCTTGTATAACAAACAGTGTTATATGCTGTAGGTAATAAAGATGACTTAAAGTGCTGGTAGGAAGGCGTGTACCCCACTCAGGTCTCTGGCCTTGCGTTGTATGGAGGCTGGTGCTGCTGGCGGGCTCAGCCAGGTCCTGGGGTGTCTGGTGGCGCCTGCGGTCTGGGAGCTAGTGCTGACCTGCCGGTGGGCAGGGCTGTGGCCTGGGGTTGATGTTGCCTGCTTGTGGGCAGGACCTGCTCCTTACACCGGTGGTTGTGAGGTCCAGGGTGTTTTGGAGCTGGTGTAAATTCACCAGCAGAATGGTGGGCAGAGCTGGATCCTGGGATTTCTGGCTACAAGGCCCTGGGATTCCTGGAGCTGGTGTCAGACTGATGATGGGTAGGACTGATCCTGATGGTTGGCCGTGGGGTTACAGGGGTCCAGAGGCTAGTGCTGGCCCATTGATAAATAGGGCTGGGTCCCAGCTAGGTTGGCTTCTTGGCCTGGGTTGTCCCAGGACTGATGCTGACCTCCTGGTGGGTGGAGGGGGTCTGGCATTAGTAAGCTAGATGCTGCTGTTTTATTAATAGTCACTGTGTCGTATCTGACTGTTCTGTGAGCCTGTGGACTACAGCCCTGCGGGCTCCTCTGCCCATGGGGTTACCCCAGGCAGGAATACTGGAGTTGCGAATACTGGGTGCCATTTCCTTCTCCAGGGGATCTGTCTGTCCCAGGGATCGAACCCACGTCTCCTGCATTGGCAAGTGGTTTCTTTACCACTGATCACTGGGAAGCTCTAGTAAGCTAGATAGAAGATTCCAAAATTGTGGTTGCCGACAGCAGTGTCCTTGTGGTAGAACGATGACTGCAACCAGCATCGGGGTCCCCAGTGAGCTCCACTTTACATGCCTCTCTGGGAGGCTCTCTGAGATCAGCAAGTGGTTTTGACCCAGGCTCCTTCCAAACTGCTACTTCTGCCTTGGGCCTTGGAGTGTTTGAGATTTTGCCATTTTAATTACAATGCCTTTGCCTATTAAGAGTGACATCTGTATTTACTATAGCCCTCAGATTCTCCTGAAAGTAAGCCTCACTAACCTTCAAAGTCAAACTTTAGGGGGCTTGTCTTCCTGGTGCAGGAACCCTACGCAGGGGAGCCCAGCGTGGGACTCACACCATGTGGCTCCCTGAGGAGAGCCATGCAGTCGTAATTATTCTGTGTAGGTTTCCCACCGTGGGTCTTGGTTGTCTCTTGTCTCTGCCTTTCCTGCCTGTCTTGTGGCTCTTCATGTCTTTAATTGTAGAAGGTCTTTTCTGCTAGCCTTCAAATTGTTCTCATTAATATTTGCTCTGTAAATAGTAGTTGTAATTTTAGTATGCCTGTGGGAGGTGGTGAGCTCAGGATCTTCCTATTCTGCCATCTGGCCACTCCCCCTGATCTTATATACTTCTATGCAGTTTATTTACTATATGAGTTTCCTATTTGATAATGATTTTAATTTCTTTGGATCTCATAGAAATATTTGTGTCAGAAACTTAAAAATGCAGGTTTCTTGATTGACTTGGTGGTCAAGAAAATTTTTCATTATATAACATCTAATGTTTTAATTCTCTCTTTTTTTTAAATTTCTGCACCATTGAGATGATCATATGTGTTTCTTTGATTTTTTTTTTCCTTTTTTCATTTTTATTAGTTGGAGGCTAATTACAATATTTTCTGAAAAAAGAATTTTCCATTGTTAAACTCATGGTGGTGGTTGTACACATTTTGTTATAGATGCAATATTTGTATTCAAATAGCCTGTATTTCTGATTTCCCCTTCTTCCTGGTTGTCAGTCTCAAGAACAAAACTACAATTCATCTGTCCCTTTTGTTAGATCTTTTCTTCTCTACCTGCTTTTGTAGTAAAATGAAACTACTGTTGACACCTTTAACTTTTGTTAATTTCCATATTCATTCTTGTTTTAAATTCTTTTTCCTCTTTAAATTCTATTCAAAGAAACGTTCTTTTTTCCTTCAGGTAGAAAATATATCTTTATTGAAAACTTCCTTTAAGTATTCTCTTCCATAAATTAGATTGACTAAAGTCATGAATTATTTTAAAACAGAAAAGCAGTGGTTAACCTTTTCTTATGTGGGACTTTCATAAGTAGTGGAAGGAGTCATATATTTCGTTTTTCCTTTACATACTATACTTTTCTTTTTGACTCAGGAGTATATGTTGCTTATCAAGCAATGTGCAAAGTTTGCATTTAGCTGAGAGTAAGTTGTAGATTTTGAGAATATGTGACTTTTAAAAAATAGAAGAAAAAAGAAGTCCATAGGATAAATTTAAGAAGTTTCTATAATTGAGAGGTATTTTTTGTTTGTTTTTTTAATTGGATGTGGTTTTCTGAATATTCTTTGGTTCAGTAGATTTTTATTTTTATTCTTTATTTTAGGAAGCAAGAAAGGTAACACCAATGTTCCTCACAAAAAGAATCAGAAAAAAGATAAGGAATGCAAAAAGAAGCATTTTTCAAGTGGATCCAAGAAGAACAAAATTGAACCTGAAGAATTAACTTCAACTGTCACAAGAAGTCGAAGAATTTCTAGACGCCCATCTAATTGGTGGGTGGTAAAATCAGAGCAGAGTAAGTATTTTTATTTAAATCATATTTACTGTATCAGAGACTCTGTGTTTGATTTATATTCCTGTTCATTTGAGAAAAATCTCATGAGGAAAAAATTAAGTTGGATCATCAATAGAAATATTAAATCAATTAATTATAGATATTCATGAAGCTTTATCATATACAGTATTCTAGGTCTAGGGATACAGCTGTGGAAAAATAAAACCAAAAATGAAACATTGCTGCTGTTATATGACTTACATTCTACAGAAGGAAGACCAGCAGTATAGATATATTGGATGAGGGTGAGGAACTGTTTTAAATACTGCTCATGGCATGAATTAGATGAGAGCTAAGAATTGACAGTGTGATTTTGGAGGTTGTTATCACCTTGATAAAATTGATTTTTGTAGAATGATGAGACCAAACGTCTCTGATTGAGGTGGATTCAAGGGAGTTTGGAAGTGAGACCAAAGAGAGTAAAATAAAGGGGTATGGCAGATGTGGGGTCAAGAGACGGTCTCTCTCTCTTTTTTAATATGCAAGATATTATATCAGCTCATCTGCTTTTTAAAATGACCGTGTGAAAAGGTACACAGTCCTTGTGTAGGCAAGGAATGGGTGTGGGCTACCCCAGAATAGAAGGGTTAGCTCTAGATTGAAGCAAAGACATTATCATGTGAAAAGGTAAAGGCAGAGTATGTGGCAACACTTAGAAGTAGGTTGGTGGGGTTGATGGTGGGAGGATAAATGTTGAAGGTAAACAAGTATTAAATGGCATATATTTAGTATTAAAATGTTAAATACTACTGTTACTACTTTGGAGAACTCATCTTTTTGCCCCAGGTTGCTGGAAACTGTACTATGGTAAATGAACGTGTAATTATATGGATTAATAAAAATCTTACAAAGCTGGGATAAGCATGCTTGAGCTCCATAATTTACCAAAAAAGACTTGAAACATGTATTAGTCCTGAGATATGTTGGGATCAAGTAGGTAGTCACAAAAGTGGAGGAATGCTTACAGATCACCTGGTCCAAACTCCTTCATCTGATGGAAGAACAAACTAAGTCTGAAGCATAGAAAAGCAGCATAAATTCTCCTTAAGGTCAGAGACCTTTGTGCTAGAATTTGAAACAACAGAACCCATATTTCTTTACTCTTAATCTGCCTGTAGTGTACGTAAGAAACATTTATTGTGTGCCCATGGTGAGGTAGGAATGGTGTTAGGCTGGGCCACAACTCAGTGAGGCAAATGAGCAACCTAGAATGGGAAATTTAAGAAGACACTTGCTCTTAGGGCTGTGTGACTGACTTGGAGTAAAGTGAAGTGAAAGTCGCTCAGTTGTGTCGGACACTTTGCGACCCCATGGACTGTCAGTCCCTGAAATTCTCCAGGCCAGAATACGGGAGTGGGTAGCCTTTCCCTTCTCCAGGGGATCTTCGCAACCCGGGGAATGAACCCAGGTATCCCGCATTGCAGGCAGATTGTTTACCAACTGAGCTATCAGGGAAGCCCAACTTGGAGTAAACACCTTCTTAAATTTTATACCCTAGTTAGAATTTTTATTTTTTTCTTTATGAGAACTTTTAAGATGTACTCTCTGATAATTATTTTGCAGTATATACTATATAAGATTATTGTGTGTTGCACCTTAAACTTGTATAGTCAGTTATGATATATGTCAGTTATATATTGATATATAACTGATATCTGTCAGTTGTATATCAATAAAACTGGGAAAAATTATTTACCACCCTAGGCTATTCTTGCTTTACCACAGTCCTGCCCCTGCTGTTAGACATTAGGAATATAAAGATAGGTTTTGGTCTAAATGATTGTCAGTCTGCTGGAAGAGAGTGGTAAGTAAACAATGAGCTGTATGTTGTTGTTCAGTCAGTCATTCGTGTCTGACTCTTTGTGACCCTGTGGACTGCAGCATACCAGGCTTCCCTGTCCTTCCCTGTCTCCCAGAGTTTGCTCAAACTTGTGTCCTTTGAGTTGATGATGCCATCCAACCATTTCATCCTCTGCCTCCTTCTCCACCTGCCCTCCTTCTCAGCAATGGGGTCTTTTCCAAAGTTGGCTCTTCACATGTATCAAGATGTATGATAAACATTATCAAAGGACTGAGAAGAGCTGCTTAATTTAGCCTTGGGTTTTAGAGAAGGCTTCCTGAAGATGGGATGATTAGGAGCAAGCTCAGTGATTGGCTGTGGGGAGGAAAGAGGATGGAATGTTTGAAGCAGAAGTATCGTATAGAGATTTGGTGCTGAGAGTTCAACCTTTTAAAATTGTTTCGTCAAAATTATCTGGGGGAGTTGTTAAAACACAAATTACAGTATCTTACTCTGAAAATTTTGATTTAGTAGGTCTGAGCTAAGGCCTGAGAATTTGCATTTCAATCAGATTCCCAGGTAATGCTGATTTTTTGGTCTAGGGACTACTGTTTAAGATCAGTGCTTTGGAAAAAGGCAGATAGTTCAGTACTGCTGCCTTTTTTTGATTTGTCTATTTGGAGTAGAGTGTTGAGTTACGCTTAATGAAAAAGCAGTTAGATGTAGTAATAAATTAGACTTAAACATATTTGAACTTAATCTTTAAGCTATGGGTAATCACTAAAAAATTTTAACCAGATTGTAGTGATTCATTTTGTGTTTTCTAAGGATGATTCTTAAAATGGTGTAAAGGATAGATCGAAGAATGCAAGGGTAGAGAAAGGATATCAGTTTAGAGGCTGTTTTAATGATCCAGATAAGAAATGATAAAGGTGCCTGCTAATGACAGGTAGCAGAGCTTAAAAGAAGAGGATTTGAGAAGCATTACAAGGAGTGACAGGATTTAGGATTCCTGTGGTTGGGGGCAGGAGTCTCAGATGACTCATATATATGAGATAGTGACACTTTTCATTAAGATAGGAAATAAAACTAGAGTGGCAGATTTGGGGGAGAGTGGTAGGTCAATGTTATAGATACCAGCATGTAGATAATAATTATATCAGAATATAGATAGTAATTAAAGTTATATATAGATAGATCCTTCAAAGAAAGTACACGGAGACTGAGAAGATGAAACTGGGACCTTGGGGATATACCAGGATGTTAAGAAGAATAGTGGGGAGAGCCAGAGAGGATGGTTTTGAAAACTTGTGATCAATTTAAAAGATTTTGTCCATATATCTGTAAATTGCAAGCAGATCAAGCCAGTCAATTCTAAAGGAAATCAACCTCGAATATTCATTGATGCTAAAGTTGAAGTTCTAGTACTTTGGCCACCTGATGAGCCAACTCATTGGAAAAGACCCTGATCTTGGGAAAGAGTCAGACACGACTTAGTGACTAACAACAACAACAATCTATAAAGTGAAGAGCTGAATAGTTTATGAATTTAACTTGAAAACAAATATAGATTACTATGAAATTGGGGTGCATGTATATGTTTACATGAAAAATATAAATAATATTGATATTTTAGTGAGCCAGATAATCAAAACGTATACTCACTTTATGTTATCATTTAATCCTGTAGGTCCTTTTTCTAGCAATTCTTCAGTAAGAAATGAACTGTCAGTGTATAACAGTAGACAAAAACCACCTGCTGAAAAAACAAACCAATCATCTAAGAATATTGGGGAAAAAGCTGTTCCATTTAAAAAGCAGAAGAGAGCTAATGAAGGCAGCTCAGGAGCACAGAAGGTTTTATGTGCTAAAGATTCTGGTGGTTCCCAGAATGAGTCATTGGGAAGCAATGAAGCAGACCTGGCTAAGAAGAAAAATCCTAATCCTTCTGGGTAATGCCTGTTTTTTTTTGTTGGTAATGTCTCTTATATGTACAAAGTAATTATTTTTGTTTGACACTTGATAAATGTCTCTGTTATTTAATCATTTATAGAAAGCAATATTAGCATAAAGGAGTCTACAGTCTGACAGACCTGGTAGTAAATCCATGGTGTGCCATTAGCTGGGTGGACCCCTCAGGCTCAATAGTACTCTGAATCTGTTTACTCCTACTAAAATGGGGAATAATATATAGCACATGAGGTATGATGATAAATTTAATAAGGTAGGTGTTATTGTCACCCAACAGTCCCTTTTTTTAAATTGTGATAAAAACATATAACAAAATTTATCATCTTAATTAATTTTTTTTTAAAAATTTATTTATTGGGCTGCATTGTGTCTTAGTTGTGGCACAGGAGATGTTTTGTCACGTCTCCTTTGCGTCAAAGTTGTGGTACACAGACTTTCTAGGTGTGGTGCGTGGGCTCAGAGCTGTGGTGCTTGGGCTTAGTTACTCTGCAAGATGTGGGAGATTAGTGCTGCAGCCAGGGATTGAACCCCCGTCCCCTGCAGTGCAAGTTGGATTCTTAACCGCTGGACCACCAGGGAAGTCCCCATTTTGTTTTTCAGTGTATCGTTTGAGTTGCTTTTGTTTTTATTTTCTTTAATAATTAATTAATTAATTTTTGGCTGTGGTGGGTCTTTAGTTCTGTGTGTGGGCTTTTTCTAGTTGCGGCAAGCAGGGACAGCTGCTCTCCAGTTGCCGTGCACAGATGTCTCATTGTGGTGGCTTCTCTTGTTGCAGAGCGCCTCGTCCAGGGTGAGCAGGCTTCAGCAGCTGTGGCTCTTGGGTTCTGCAACGCAGGCTCTCTAGTTCTGCTTCGAGGTCTTAGTTGTCCTGCATCGTGTGGAGTCTTCTCAAATCAGGGATTGAACCTATGTCCCCTGCTTTGGCAGACTGATTCTTAATCACTGGACCACTAGGGAAGTCCAAGTTGCTTTTTTTGAAGTGAGATTAATATAATTTTAGTAATTGGGAATGCATTAATTCTTTTCCTATAAGATGATAATAGTTAACATATTTTAGTGCTTATTGTTATCAAGTGTTTGCTAGATGCTTTCAATGAATTCTCATCAGTCCTGACAACCTAGTAAATACTGCTCTTAGGCATTTTTGCTTTTTGATATAGCATTTGCTTATTCATTCATTCAAAAAATACTTAATGCATATTATGTATGAGAAATTGCACGTGCTGGGGATGTAGTGAATACGTGATAGAATACTCTAAAATACATTACTATATGGTGTTATGGTGCATACTAGCTATAAATAGTTCACTGAGTTGTATGTTTGCCCCCAATGATTTGCAGTGCTCCCTCTGTCTTATGTCAGACTTCCATATTTATAGTAGCTTATTCTTTATATCAGGGCTTCCCTAGTGGCTCAGAGGTTAAAGAGTCTGCCTGCAATGTGGGAGACCTGGGTTCGACCCCTGGGTCGGGAAGATCCCCTGGAGAAGGAAATGACAACCCACTCCAGTATTCTTGCCTGGAGAATCCCATGGACGGAGGAGCCTGGTGGGCTACATTTATCCATGGGGTCGCAAAGAGTTGGATATGACTGACCGACTTCACTTTCACTTTCTTTTCTATTCTTTATATCATTTAGTTTTTGTTAAGAATCTTGAGAGGTTGAGAGGATAGGTATTAGCTCTTTTTACATGTAAGGAAGGCACACTTAAGATAAATAAGTGTACCTAGGTCTTTTATCAGCCCAGTTGTTTTTACTTGAATGTGTTAATAATAATAAACAGTTTTAATAATAATAATAAATCACTGTTTTATTAAAGCAGATAAGCCTTAGCTATGGGTTGAGAGAAATAATAAGGTATAAAAATAAAGTTTATATGTTGAGTTTCTGAATTTGATCTAGTATCCCTATCTTACACATAACGGGACTATTTAGAAACATCCAGAGTTGATAGTTATTACAGTATCTGCTTAGGAAACCTGTTGGGTATCTGGATTCATAGAAAGGAAGATCTTTGAGACATTTGTATAGTCTACTTACTACGTGTAGATGATCAAACACGTAATTGTCTTGATATTTTACATGTCATAAGGTGGGAAATCCTGTGGACAGAGGAGCCTGGTGGGCTACAATGCATGGGGTCACGAAAGAGTCAGACATGACTTAGCAACTAAACAACAATAAGCATATGTCTCAGCAATTTCACTTGTACACAGATGTTTTTATCAGCATTATTCATAATAGTCAAAAGGTAGTTTCCCAGATGTTCAGCAGTGGATGAATGGATAATCAAAATATAACAGAATGTGCTTCAAAGAACACCATCAAGAAAGCAAGAATACTGGAGTGAGTTGTCATTTCCTTCTCCAGGGGATCTTCCCGATCCAGGGATTGAACTCACGCCTTCTGCCTTGCAGGCGTGTTCTTGACCACTGAGCCACTAGAGAAGCCTGAGTCACATGATAACTTTACATTAACCCTCTGAGGACCTGCAGGATCATCTTCCAAAGCATCTGCACTATTTTGTGTTCCTGTCAGCAGTTGACTGCAGTGACTCCACACCCTTCTCAACATTTGCTGGTTTTTTGATTCTAGCCATCCTAATTGGTATGAAGTTGTATCTCATTGTGATTTTTATTTTCATTCTGTGAAGACTAAGATCCTTTGCAGATTTTTAATTGGATTGTCTTTTTTTTTAATTGAATTGTCTTGAGAGGTCTTTATTCCAGATATAAGTCTCTTTTCAAATAAGTGATATTTGATAATCTCTCCTTCTTTGGGTTGTCTCATTTTCTTGATGGTGTTCTTTGAAGGATGAAAGTTGTTTTTTCTTTTTAATTTTTATTTTTTAATTTATGGAAGTATGCTAACACATTTACAGAAAACTTAGAACGTATAGAACAAGGTTATATGTAGTTCCACTATATATTACAATTTTTTTAAGTAGATAAATTAAGATTTTTAGTTGGCATTTCAATAAAAACTCAAAAATTGATAGAATGAGTATACAGAGAAGTAGAAGGATATGGTAGACCTGAAACCACTGTGAATCAATTCAACATAATTAAGATTTATACAATTATGACACAGCAGCAGAATATAAATTCTATTCAAGTTCCTATAGGCTGTAAACTAGGAGACACAGGAACATATCCAGGAATGTAAAACAAAGTGCAAAAATTTCATGGTCTAAAGTTATTGAAATCTTACAGTCTGTTCTTTTATTCCTGTGGAATTATGTTAGAAATCAATATCAAAAGATACTTGACAATAACCCACGTATCTTCAAGTATGATGTCACAAGTACAGTGTAACACTTACCAAGAGAGTAACATGTTACCAAGAGTGTAACATTTACTAAGTTGAAGAGCTTAGCCCCTGAAAGCCTCAATAAAATTAGACTGAAAAAACACAGAGGGTGATTGCAGAGAAGAAAGCATTTGAATGGGAAATTAGTATAAAAATGAGAAATTAATGTTAAGGATAGTTTAAACCTCCCTTCCCTTGTGGGTTTCCCTTGTGGCTCAGCTGGTAAAGAATCCGCCTGCAGTGCAGGAGACCTGGTTTGATCCCTGGGTTGGGAAGATCCCCTGGAGAAGGGAAAGGCTACCCACTCCAGTATTCTGGCTTGGAAAATTCCATGGACTGTATAGTCCATGGGATTGCAAAAGAGTCGGACACAACTGAGCAACTTTTATTCATTCATACTTTAGACAGAATCCCGTGTACTTGGAAATGAAATGGCCACTTTTAAATGATGAGTGTATCTAAAAAGCCATAACAAGGAAAACTAGGAAAATATTTGTAATAGAATAAAAATGAAAAGAGATTTTACCAGAATGTGTTGCATACAGCTGAAGCTACTCAGTGCAATTAAATACAGTGTGTAGCCTTGAATAAGGTATGAAAACAAATAATGGACAGCATAAAATTTTGTGAATTTGAACAAAATCTGTACTTTAGTTAATCACTAAGATAATAAATTTTATAGACTTGTAGTAGTAATACTAGATGCCAAAATACATGGAACTATATCAAAGTTTTGAGTGAATATAAATTAGAAATCTAGCATTCTATTGATACTAAGTCAAATAAGTGGAATCAAAATGTCATAAATTTTTTTGGTTTGGCAAAAATTCATAAATTTTCTGAAATATATTATACATACTATACACACACACACACACACACACACACAGAAGCTTTCCTACTACCAGACACACACACACACACACACACACACAGACGCTTTCCTACTACCAGAAGCATAAAAGTTTTTAATTTTGATAAAGTCCCATTTATCTGTTTTGTCTGTGGTTGCTTTTGTTGCTGTTGGTATTTTGGTGTCATATCTACAAATTCTTTGTCCAATTCAAGTTCATGAAGATTTACCCCTATGTTTTTTTCTAAGAGTTTTGTAGTTTTAGCTCTTAAATTCAATTCTTTGATCCAGTTTGAGTTGCAGTTTTATCCCCACAAATGATAAGAAGAAGCTGGTAGACTGAGTCAAGAAACAAAACATGGGATTTGTAAGGGAGATGTGAGAGAAGAGAATTATACCATCTTGGAATGATGTATCTTGTTTGCATATATTTGCAGTAAGCGAACTAGTTGGCAGCTACCAAAGAGGTGAGCCTATGTTCCTGTGAACAGTACTGTTTGTCAGGAGGCTGGGTAGAGATATCAAAGAAAACAAATTTCAGTTCTTTAAGGATTTTCAACAAAAACTGTGATAGATGAACTCCCTGATAGCTCAGTTGGTAAAGAATCCACCTGCAGTGCAGGAGACCCCAGTTCCATTCCTGGCTTGGGGAGATCCTCTGGAGAAGGCATAGGCTACCCACTTCAGTATTCTTGGGCTTCCCTTGTGGCTCAACTGGTGAAGAATCTGCCTGCAGGGCGGGAGACCAGCTTTCGACCCCTCTGTTGGGAGGATCCCCTGGAGAAGGAAAAGGCTTTCCACTCCAGTATTCTGGCCTGGAAAATTCCATGGACATGGGTTTGCAAAGAGTTGGACACCCCTGAGCGACTTTCACGTTCACTTTTCCTATATCATAAGCTGCCTGTAGGTAATTACCTATCTTAGGTCAGTTCTCTTATCATTTCTTTTATCAGAATTTTTTTTTTTCAGTTCTACCACTTTATTGCTACTAACCCATCTCCCTCTACCCTCGTGCACACATGCTCAGTCATGTAATCCCATGGTCTTCAGCCCACCAGACTCCTCTGTCCATGGACTTTTCCAGGCAAGAATACTGGAGTGGGTTGCCATTTCCTTCTCCACAGAATTTTTTAAATTAAAACTTTCAGTAGATTCTAAAATCAGATTTCCTTCCTGGACTAGTTGTTAAGTTTTAGGACCTGAACAAGATTATCTGATATTTGTCAGTATTGTATTGTCTACCCATCTGTGTTATGTTTCTGGAAGAACTAATTTTTGAAGAAATGTGAACAATTACAGACTTTTCATTTTCATAGAGATACAGGAAACTCAGAGAACCAAGATAGTATGGCTGCACAAAATGTTCGTCGAAAGTCTCAAATGAGTGGATATACATGGACGACACCAGCAAAGTCTAACTTGGATTCTGGAGAGCCTGAGACTTCAGTTTTGGAAGGGAGGTATGCATGTGTCCTAAGGATAATAGGATTTACTCACTGTATTTGTTACCCACTGACTGTAACAAATTACTCCCAAAGGTTCATTTTAATTTTGTTAGTGCCTTGCAAACATTGTTTCACAGTTTCTATGGTAGAAATCTGAGAGTGACAGTGGACTAGTTCTGGCTCAGGGATTCTTATGAGGTATAGCAATCAAGATATCTGTCTAGTTTGCAGTCCTGGTTAGAGCATAGAGAATCCACTTATCAAGCGGCTTGCTCACAGGTTGTTAGCTGGAGGCCAGAGTTTCTTTGTCATGTAGCTGTCTCCATTGGGGTATTCAATAAGGCAGCTGGCTTTCCACAAAGCAGATGATCCAAGGGAAAATGTGACTGACAGAGGTCATAGTCTTTTAATGACCTAGTCTTTGAAGTCTTGGATTTTATTCTGTTTAGAAACAAGTCACTCAGTCTATATAATACTCAGGAGGGAGTTAGAATTGGGCTGTACCTTTTGAAAGAAGCGTTATCTAAGAATTTGTGGGTGTATGTTTAAAGAGAGCATACTCAGCAAGTAAACCAAATTACCCTACTCTCATAATATCTGAAGTCATAAACCCTTTTTCAAAATGAAGGAATGGTAGATTATAGCAGATTTTCAGACTTTAAAGGGATAACTAAGATTCTTTACTGTTTGAGAGCCCCTTGACTACTATGCCTGTCCTGGGCTCAGGATGGACGAGGATCTAGGACTGGGATAAACCAAGTCATCTCTGAACAATTTTAAATTACTTGTTTTTGCTGGTAGTTTTTTTAAAAATTAAGATAAGCTGATTTATTTCTAATGATTTGATTTTTATCAAAGTGTGTTATTGAGTTAACTTAAATGTGTAACTCTGACTCATGAGTTAGTTTAAAGGTTGTATAATTCAGTGGTATTGTGTTTAAATCAAATGTGGGATTAAATTGTAGATTTTTAGACTTTTGTTTTATGAATCAAGTAGGTATATTCTTAATGTCCTATAACATAATTACTGGTTTTATAAGAAAAAAATCCTTTGCAGTTTTAGGAGAAAAATGACCATAAAGATAGATATGTTAAATAGATATATTACAAAAGCACAAATTTTGTGGTTTCCTTTTTTTCTTAAGTGGACCTTTTCGGCTCAAGAATTATTTAACGTCTGGAAAGAATAATTCAGATGTGGATGATAATGTAGTTCAGGAAAATTTGAGTAAGTTATGATTTATTTTCTACTATCTTGATTTTTATAGCATTATGGAAATTGGAGTAAGGTATGCTTTTTTTTTTTAAATATCTTTTATTTTATTTATTTATTTGGCTGAACCAGGTCTTAGTTGCAGCATGTGAACACTTAGTTGTAGCATGTGGGATCTAGTTCCCTGACCAGGGATTGAAGCTGGGCCCCTTGCATTTTAAGCCGGACTCTTAGCCACCAACCACCAGGGAAGTGCCTGTGCTATGTTTTATTTAAATTATCACCATTGACATTTTTATGTCATAAATGTATTGAGTACCTACCCTTAAGAGCCTTATTTTATGGTTAGAGATTTGTAAGACCTTACAACTGGGTGCGAGAGGGAGGGATGGAAAGATAAAGAGAAGGAGTAAGATGAGTGACAGTCCTTTCTTTGAAGTAGGACATAATAATATACTTGGCATTTAAGGTGCCTACTCCAGTATTTTAAAATGTCAGGCTGATAAGAGTATAAATGAAGCAAGATTTGCCATATATTGATGATTACTGAAGCTAAATGTTGAAGTTTTAAAAATGCCTCTTTATAGAGAGTTTTATAATTTTTATGCCCCTAAAGAATGTGCTTGACATATGATCTTTTATACATTTTTTTTTTTTCCTAATTCACTAATTCTTTTTCCTTTTAAATAGTTTTTTCTCCCTCTGTTTAGATTTACTTTTATTATTTTTCTCTACTAAGTGGAATGCTTTTTATATTTATTTTTCTACTTTTTATTTGGTAAAGAGTTTGAATTTTCTGGAGTATAGTTTTAGTTAATTTTTTTTTTTTTAATAGAGTGTTTTTACTATTGTATATTCTAAATTTCAGTGGTGATTTTTCTTTGACCCAAATGTTTTTTAAAAGAGTACATTAATCAAGAGCGTGGTCTCCATAGTCAGGAACCTGGAAGTGAGTCTAGCTTTACCACTTAGCTGTGTTATCTTGTGTAAGGTTTTTAAGTGTTCTTAGCTTCAGATTCCTTATTTATAAAATGGTGGTACCAATTCTCATCATATGAATTGATACAAAGATGAATATACATTCTTTGCTTAGTTTCTTTTTTTAATATATTATTTTATTTGGCTTTGTCGAGTCTTAGTTGCGGCACGTGGGGTCTTCATTGAGTCATGGGCGATCTTTTGTTGTGGCACATGATCTCTAGTTGTGGCCCACAGGCTCAATAGTTGGGGTGTGCAGGCTTGTTGCTTCACAGTATGTGGGATCTTAGATCTCTGACCAGTGCTTAAACCTGCATCCCCTGCCTAGGAAGGCGGATTCTGAACCACTGGGTCACCAGGGAAGTCCTCTGCTTAGTTTTAATACTGGTATATGTTAAATATGCAGTGTTCACTATTATCCTAAGAAGTTGTGCTTTGTTTTGTTTTGTTTTTTGTTTATAGTTTCTAGTTTTGATTCATTGTTCTAGATAACTTTGGCCTGTATTATTAATTCTTTGAATATACTTAGAACACATAACTCATGGGAGAATTTCATAATTCTTCTGTGGATGCTTAAAAAAGATAATACTACTTTTTGGGTACATGCATGTGTGCTAAGTCTTTTCAGTTGTGTCTCTTTGTGACTCTTTGGACTGTAGCCCACCAGGCTTCTCTGTCTGTGGATTCTCCAGGCAAGAATACTGGAGTGGGTTGCCATGCCCTTTCCCAGGGCATCTTCCCAACCAAGGGATTGAACCCTCATCTGTTAGGTCTCCTGAATTGGCAGGAAGGTTCTTTACCACTAGCGCCACGTGGGAAGACCCTTTTTGTGTACAGATATGGATTAAAATATGTATATACATTCATTATTAATGCAAGTGAATATATATTTTAGTATACTTTGAATATTAAATATTTGAAATTCTTATATATTTATGGAATATTATGGAATACTTTATATTCTTCTATAGGGAAAAAATATCCAAATTTGTGGTTTGTTGGGATATTGAGAGTAAGAAAATAAAGTACAGATTTTTGGGATAGAAAATAGGAGTTAGATTTTTAGGTAGATGGGCAGAAAAAGTCTTACTGAAGAAGTGATAATTTGAGCAGAGGTATGAGAGAGGTGAGAAATCAAATTATGCAGTTTGGGAATACCAGACCACCTGACCTGCCTCTTGAGAAACCTGTATGCAGGTCAGGAAGCAACAGTTAGAACTGGACATGGAACAACAGACTGGTTCCAAATAGGAAAAGGAGTACGTCAAGGCTGTATATTATCACCCTGCTTATTTAACTTACATGCAGAGTACATCATGAGAAACGCTGGGCTGGAAGAAGCACAAGCAGGAATTAAGATTGCCGGGAGAAATATCAGTAACCTCACATATACGTAGATGACACCACCCTTATGGCAGAAAGTGAAGAACTAAAAAGCCTCTTGATGAAAGTGAAAGAGGAGAGTGAAAAAGTTGACTTAATGCTCAACATTCAGAAAACTAAGATCATGGCATCTGGTCCCATCACTTCATGGAAAATAGATGGGGAGACAGTGGAAGCAGTGTCAGTCTTTATTTTTTTGGGCTCCAAAATCACTGCAGATGATGATTGCAGCCATGAAATTAAAAGATGCTTACTTCTTGGATGGAAAGTTATGACCAACCTAGATAGCATATTAAAAAGCAGAGACATTACTTTGCCAACAAAGGTCCATCTGGTCAAGGTTATGGTTTTTCCAATGGTCATGTATGGATGTGAGAGTTGGACTGTGAGGGAAGCTGAGTGCCAAAAAATTGATGCTTTTGAACTATGGTGTTGGACAAGACTCTTGAGAGTCCCTTGGGCTGCAAGGAGATCCAACCAGTCCATCCTAAAGGAGATCAATCCTGGGTGTCCATTGTAAGGACTGATGCTGAAGCTGAAGCTCCAATACTTTGGCCACCTGATGCGAAGAGTTGACTCATTGGAAAAGACCCTGATGCTGGGAGGGATTGAGGGCAGGAGGAGAAGGGGATGACAGGATGAGATGGTTGGCATCACCGACTCGATGGGCATGAGTTTGAGTAAACTCTGGGAGTTGGTGATGGATAGGGAGGCCTGACATGCTGCGATTCATGGGGTCGCAGAGTCGGACACGACTGAGTGACTGAACTGAACTGAATGGGGAAATAGCGCTCCATGCAGATAGAAGATGAGGGCAAAGGTTTTGATGTGGTGAAGACTCAGTTCTGATTGAAAAACACCAAGGAGGCTGGGAAGGAGGGGGAGGAGGAAGAGAACAAAGGAGAGAGTAGTAGGAGATGATGTCACAGAGGGAACAAGAATGAAAGATCTTATACAATGTTAAAGACTACTTATAAGGTTTTGGGCTTTACGACGTAGTATGGGAAGCCATTGGAGGATTTTGAGCAGAGGAGAGACATGACTAACCTATAAACAATCATTGTGGCTGCTGTAGACTACATGAGTTGGACTAATAGGTGGACTAATGAGTTCAAGGAGTTAGGTGTAAGGTTGAAAGCAGGAAGACCAGTTCGTGAGACTTGTAATTCCTGAGTGAGGTGGTAACTTGGACTAGGGTGGTAGCAGTGGAAGGTGGAGAGAGCAGAATTAGGATTTTAGGTATTTTTGGTGGTAGAGTCAACGTGATTTCCTGATGGATGGGACGTAGGGTGTAAAAGAAAGTGAAGTGTCAAGGATAAAGAATTTTAAATTTTTGGGCCTGGACCCCTGAAAAAATGACATCATTTCTTGATTTGGAGACCACTAGAGAAGGGGCAGATTAGGGCGGAAAACAACAGGATCTTAAATATGGACATTCTGTGTTTTATATTACTCTTATTCTTTGTATCCTTACCATTTGTGAGGTCTACTAAGGACTGCCAGAGTTAAAATCTTTCCTTTGCAATGGTCTGTCTGTCTCTGGTATTTCCTGCAGTCATTGCTATGTACATTTCAGTGCTGTTACTGAGTATATAAATTTGCATATGGAATGTACCTGTTTTGCTCAAATTTGCCTTCTTGATCATGTTTTTTACTTTGTAGTCTTTTTGTTTTTTGTTTAATATTAACATTGTGGTTCCCTACTTTCTTTTGGTTTGTTGTTTCTTTTCATTCTTCCTTTTACTTAACTTTTTTTCTGTCAGTATTTTTTTCCTCTAATAAATGTTTAATAGATAAGCTTTGTTACTTCTTTGTAAAGTTGGTAGACAGTCTCACATGTGCTAGCAAGCAAGCACTCAGAAATTTTCTTTTTTTAATACAATCAACAACTAGTCAAATAGTGAAAGTCTTGAGTCAATCTTTTTTCCTTTAAGCTATTTGGCTATTGCTCTTTTTCCCTCGTGATAACTAATTCTTATGAGTAGATACTTTAAACCAGCCTTCTTTTTTCCTTTGTAGATAACCTGTTTCTTTCATTTTCATGCTTATTAGACTTTGTTAGTCTTTGAAATTCTGGAATTGTCTCTCTGGTTTTTTTTTCTTTTTCTCTTATACTTTTTTGGGAAATAATTTCAGATCTACTCAAATACCATATCCTCTTCATCCAGATTCCACAGTTGTCAACATTTTATAATATTTGTTTCATCTTCCTCTCTGTCACCTCTACATAAATGTTTATATATGTTTATTAGTCTTTTTCTGGACTGTTTGGGAGCAAGTCACATACATATTTTTATGTATGAGTGTGCAGACATGATACAAGACAAGAACATAATCACTCTTCAGTGATCCAAGTCAGGAAGTCACTGTTAATATGACACTAGTCTTCCTTCATTGAGTCCATGTAGATTTCATCAGGAGTTCAATCAGTATTCTTTTTTCTGTCTGGTTAAGTATCCATTCTAGGATCATGGGTTGTTTAGATTTCATGTCCCTTTGGTTTCCTTAAGGGATAGTTCTTTAGGCTTCTTCTTTCCTGACCTTGACGCTTTTTAAAGAGTACAGGCTTTTCATTCTTTAGCATGACCTTCAACCTGAGTCTGTCTAATACTCCTTCATGATCAGATGTGAGCCATGCATATTTGACAGAAATGCTACAGAAATGATGCTTTTGTGCATCATGTTAGGAGGTATATAGTGATGACCCCGGAGAAGGCAATGGCAACCCACTGGAGTACTCTTGCTTGGAAATTCCCATGGATGGAGGAGCCTGGTAGGCTGCAGTCCATGGGGTCACGAAGAGTCGGACACGACTGAGCAACTTCACTTTCACTTTTCACTTTCATGCATTGGAGAAGGAAATGGCAGCCCACTCCAGTGTTCTTGCCTGGAGAATCCCAGGGACGGGGGAGTCTCGTGGGCTGCCGTCTATGGGGTCGCACAGAGTTGGACACGACTGAAGTGACTTAGCAGCAGCAGCAGCAGCGCTAACCCATCTTCTACTGGTGATTTTAATTTTCATCACCTATTCAAGATACTGTCTTCCAGGTTTCTCCACTCAGATAGGGTTTTTCTCTTTGGTAATTTGTAAGTATTTTGTGGAATGATATTGTGACACTACTTTAATAACTTGTCCTTTTCAAATTTCTACGCCAGTATTCATATCTTTTGAAAAATCTCACCTGAATTCACTAATGATGGTACCAAACTACTATTTTATATTTTCCTAATTCTTTCTCTGTTATTTAGTTTGCATGTTAAACATTTATTTATTCATTATTCATTTATTTATATTATTACAGACTATTGCTAGGTTCCTATTTTATTCAGTGGGTTGTAATCTTTATCATTTGTTCTGGTACTCAAATTGTGCCAGATGTGGCTAGGAGGAAGCATCCTTTCAGCTGGTCCTTGTGATCTTTTGTCATGTTTTTATCTTTTTTTTTTAATGCTTTTATTTTTTAGCATAAGATGTTCCAGACTGTTTTCCCTGTCTCTACTCTGGAATCAGTTATTTTGCCAAAGGAACCTGGTGGAGGGATGACATTTAGAAACTTAGATTTGGGTACTAGGTGTGCTCATTGTTCCTGGGATATTACTGCTTCTAGGCTCTCAGTGGACTGAGACAGGCAATAGATACACACACACATCTGTGTACACTGTACATACATAAGCATCTATATCTACTTCTGTGTTTATTCAGGCAGTCCTGGCTCTACTGCTCTTTGTTTCATTGTGCTTCACAGATTTTGCATTGTTTACAAGCTGAGGTTTTATAGCAGCTCCATATCACACAAGCCTATTGGCACCGTTTTCCAGTGGCGTTTGCTCACTTAGTGTCTGTGTAATGTTTTGATAATTCATGTGATATTTCATTATTCCTGTGATGATCCATGATCAGTGGTCTTTGTTACTGTTGTAAAAAGTTCTGACCTACAGAGGACTCAGGATGATGGTTAGCATTTTTTAGCAATAAGGTATTTAAAATGCATTGATTTTTTTTTTAGACATAACACTTTTACAGACTTAACAGACTACATTATAGTGTAAACATAATGTATTGGGAAACAAATATTGGGGGGAAAATAGTGTAAATATAATGTATTGGGAAACAGAAAATTCATGTGACTCGCTTTATTGCCAAATTTGTTTTATTGCAGTGGCTCAGTGGTAAAGAACTGCATGCCAATGCAGAAGATGCGAGAGATGAGGGTCCGATCCCTTTGTCTGAAAGATCCCCTGGAGAAGGGAATGGCAACCCACTCCAGTACTCTTGCCTGGAGAATTCCATGGACAGAGGAGCCTGATGGGCTACAGTCCATGGGGTCACAAAGAGTCGGACAGGACTGAGTGACTAAGCATGTGCGCACTGGAAGCACACTCTCAGTATCTCTGCGGTGTGTCTGTATTACACGCATGCACGTCAGTACCTCCAACTCCAGTCCAACACACTTGACTTTTCCTTTTCCATTTTAATAAACCCTTTCTCAAAGATACTGAGAAGCCTGACTCTCATTATCTTCAGTATATTTTGCTCATTTGCTTTGCTCCTTTTTTGGCCCCAATAGCTGCCTCTAAGGCAAACTGCTTTAGGAAATTTCCGAGAATTACTAGCTCTCTACTTGTTCTAATGGGAATTACATGGGAGACTGGATTTTTCTTTTTTCTTTTTGATAATAGCTTTATTAAGATAGGGCTTCCCTTGTGGCTTTATTAAGATAAGGCTCCCTTATTAAAAGATATACTTCACATACCATACAGTTAATCCATTTACAGTGTATATAATTCAGTCATTTATAACTCACCACAGTAGATTTGGACTCCCCTGATGGCTCAGTGGTAAAGAATCTGCCTGTGGATGTAGGACATGCAGGAAATTCGAATTCGATCCCTGGGTCACGAATTTCCCCTAGAGAAGGAAATGGAAATCCATTCCAGTATTCTTGCCTGGGAAATCCCATGGACAGAGCATCCTGATGGGCTAAATTCCATAGGGTTGTGAAGAGGTGGTCATAACTGAGCACACATGCAAAAAAAAAAAAGCAAAAAAACAGTAAATATTAGAACATTTTCATGATCCCCAAAAAGAAGCCTTCTACTCTTTACCTGGGAATAAAATGAAAGCTTAGACCTGCTTTTCAGGAAATGTATGCTATATAAAAATTGTATTAAAAATCTCAGGTGGTTCATTGTATCTTCAATGTTATAGTTTCAGATTGCTGCATAACTTACTATACAAATTTTAGTGCCTTAGTTTAACGATTTATCTCTCATAGTTCTGTGGGGTGACTTAGGTGGGCCATTCTCATTTTGGCTCTTTCATGCATTTATAGTTAGATGCAAGCCACTGGGACTGGAGTCATTTGAAAGATCAACTGGGCTGGAAGTCCACAATCACTTATTTACTTATATATTTGATATTCAGCTGGGATGGCTGAAATAACTGAGGATTGGCCAAGCATCTCTTTTCCTCTGCATGGCCTTTCCACATGGTTGTTTTGGGTTTCCTTACAGCATGGCAGTCTTGGGATAGTCGGTCTTCATAATGGTGACTGTCTTTCCCCAGACTGAAGTTCCAAGCGATCCAGGTGGAAGCTGAATGTCTCCTGAGGAATTAGCCTTCAAAGCCCCAGAATGTCACTTCTGCTGCATTCATTAGTCAAGCAACTCACTGAGGCCAGTGGAGTTTCAAGAAGACAGTTAAACTTAGCCTGTTGATAAAGGAAAAGAATTAATGACTGCTATGTTTAGATGCTATTTGCCACACTAATTGTCACCCTGCCAACTAAATTCAGTACACTTGTGCTGTTTTAGAACTTTAAAAATCGTAGGTTGCATTATTAAGTCAGCAGTTGTTCGTAATCACACCCAGCATTTTTATCCATCCAGTGGCTTATTTCACTTGAAGTCCACAAGCAATTTAAAACCTGTTGTTTTTGTTACTTGTAACCATTATCCTCTTAAGATATATTCATTATAACAAAACCTGTAGATGTGTTATACTGGTTTCATTAGCCTTTTATCCTCAGCAGTGGAAAGCAAAGGGAGTAGTAAAATGTATTGTTGGGTTGAATTTTTTTTTTTTTAATATTTATTCTGAAGTTGACCTAGTACCTACTTGAGCCATTGCTCATGATATTTCTTTTGCAATTTACAGATGATTCAAGAGGAGAAATATCTAATTCAACACCAGAGAGCAAGATGCATCACAAATTAGGTAAGATTATTTTTCCCTTAATATTTTCATATTATTATAAAATCTCTGTTCCTAAATATAATTTAATTTTTTCTCAAGTAAGGGAAATATTATTTGGATTAATTGTCAGGTAATGTAAAACTTCATATTTTGTTTCATTAATTTCATGGTAAATCATCACATGCCATAGAGTTTCTTTATTGTCCATTTATAAATCTTGTAATCCTCTCACTCATTGCTCAGTAGTAGGGAGCTGATCTTACCTAATGTAAGAAGCTAGGGTAGAGAATTCTATAAAATGTAACTTCTGGGTAGTGGCATCCATGACAACTTCTCTGATTTTTTTCCAGTTCACACCTAAACAGAACAGTAACTAGGATAAGTAAGCCAGGAGCTAAGGAACCCATGGAGAGGCCCACTTGGGGATTAAGATTCAAGCAGTCTCTCATGTTTGGAGGATTGGAGTGGCTTTTTATTTTTCTCCCTATACTTAAGGCTTCTGCATTTATACTTGACGGGACCTATAGGGATGAAGCTCTCTCTAAGTGCTTCCACCAGAACCTCATATCTTGTCAGTTAGTATTTTGTGGGTCCATGTGAAGAGAGACTGCTGTACTTCTCAATGTTTAATGCTTAGCTTCCTAGGTGGTGCAGTGGTGAAAAATCCACCTGCCAATGCAGATGACGCAAAAGATGCAGCTTCTGTCTCCCAGTTGGGAAGATCCCCTGGAGTAGGAAATGTCACCCCACTCCAGTATTCTTGCCTGGAAAATGTCATGGACAGAGGAGCCTGGTGGGCTGCAGTCCATGAGGTCACAAAGAGTCAGACACAACTAAGTGTATGTGTGCACACACACACACACACACACTTGCTTGACTTGGAGTGGAATATGCTGGGAGTCAGAGTAGGCAAAGAGAAATAAAAATGTCCCTGAAAGGGTCTGCAGCAACACAAGAGAGAAAAATCAGCAGTAGACAAATTCTAGTGAGCCAGAACCTTTGTAGATAAATAACAGTTTTAACAATGAAGGAAATATGAGTATTTTCAGAAATTTAGTTATATCACAGAAGGCTTTCTGGTTGCTAAAGCATAATTTTTCAGTTTAAAAAATCAGTACATGAACTGATAAATAAAGATGAATACTATTGAGTGCTAAATTAGTAGCTGGTGTTGACATGGAAGAAATTTATCAAAACAGAAATACAAAAAAGATTGAAACCATGAGGAAAATATAGGCAATGGAAATAACATGGAGACAACATATTAAAAAAATGCAAATACTAGAATTTTCAGAAAAAAGAAAAATTAAAATACTACTTAAAACTTTCCTGGAATAAAGATAGACTTGATCTGCAATTTGAGAGAGTTTATCAGCTGCCAGTGAAAATTAATGAAGAATATACACCTCTAGACAGAATTGAATAAAATTCTTAAATTTCAAGGATAGAGGAAAGCTTCCAGACAGCAGTTATATATAAAGGAGGGGGGGGGGGAAAAAAAGGCTAGCATTATTCATCTTTGTAACTCTGGAAAAATAAAATAGCCTACTTTCAGAAATGTATTACAATCCATGTTATAACTAGCCAAGATATCTTTCCTTCTGATAACTGAATTTATTTTGCACATAATGCAAGATTATCATCCTCCATGGAAAATAGCCATGTAAGGTTATTTAACCAAGTAGCATATAAATCAGGACTGAGTTCAAAGAGAGGAGAGAATTAGGAATGATTCTTAATATATGGTTAAATTTAAATAATGTATACTTATTTTCTGTTGCCATGTACCAAATTACTACAGATTACAACATGTTTGTTATCCTGTGGTTTCCATGGGACAGGAGCTCAGGTACAACTTAGCTGGGTTCTCTGTTAAAGGGTTTCACAGGCTGCAGTCAAAAGTGTCAGCCTGGACCGTGGTCTTATCTGAGCTCAAGATCCTCTTTCTAGCTCATGTGGTTGTTCGGAGAATTCAGGTCCTTGGAATTGTAGGACTGAGATACCTGTTTTCTTGGTGTCTGTGAGCCATGGGCCTGTTAATTTCTAGAGGTCACCTGCAGTTCCTTGCCACATGACCCTTTTCATAGACTCTTTTCTCAGTGTGGCAGCTTGCTTCTTCAAAGTGAGCAAGGAAGAATTTTTCTCTGCTTCTGCTAGATAGTGTCTTATGTGTAGAATCATCATATAGTCACAGGAGTGACTTCCCTTTCCTTTTGCCATATTCAGTTGAGTAGTATATCATAAGTTCCACATGTATCCTAGGGAAGGGTTATCTCATTGCTCACACCTGAGAGTGTGTCTACTACTTAATGCTAATATGATTGAGGATTTATAAGTACTAAGTAAGAATTTTTGCAATGATAATTTGAAATCTGCACTATCTTAACAGAACTTGGTGTAATGGGGAGGAGAGTAGGAGTGGCAGAGGGGTGATAAAAGTAGTCTAAAAGTTTTGTTTTACTAAGTGAGAGAAGAAAGAAGATGATAAGGAATAAGATGATAAGGTAAGGAATATAGTTTTCAATATAATCATAGAGAAATGAGTATGATTTGAATGGCAGGAATAGGAAGGTAAATTAGACTGAAAAAGTATAGTAAAACTTTGAAATGACCAAGGTTTGGAGTATGGGGAAAGAAATGATATTCTGACCAAACCAATGAAAAGGAGGGGAAGAAAAGAATCATTGATGTAAAATAACAAGTAAATGTAAAATGGAAGGAATAAAAAGAACCATATTTGTTATAGTAAATAAGCATGAATGGATTGAATTCCTCTAGTAAGATAGAGACTAACAGATTTGGTTAAGCAATACAACCGACCTATATGTTTATATAAAACACTTAAAACAGGTTTTAAAATAAAAGATTATCAAAGAATTAAATAGAGTAATATAAACAAAGAAAGTAGTGATGCATTTTTAATATTAGGTGAAGTGAAATTTAAAGTTAAAAATGTGAATGGAATAAAGGACTTGTAATAATAAATAAGCAATTAATTGAAGAATATAGAAAAATCATAAACTACTATGTACCAAACAGCCTAGCAACTAAAATGTATAAAGTAAAAAAAAAACCTGAGGAAAAGCAAGGAGATTTTAAGCAATACAATTAGAGATTTTGATAAACCACTTTCAGAATTGGAGAAATCCAGCAAACCAGAAATAAGAAAGAACATAGAAAGTTGATTATATAGCCAGCAAACTTAGCATGTAGAACTTTGCATTGGTAAGATAAAATGAGTAGATATGTGTGTATACACACAAATACATGCGTCTATGACTACCCTGAGTAACACATTTCCTATTGGGAACATTTAGATGGTTTTCAATTTAACTTCTGTTTTCGGTTCCTTTCTGTTTCGGTTCCATAGTATACACAGTACTACTATGAATGTTTTTATACCTAGATCTTTGCCCATTTTTATAACTGTTTTGCAAATTCATTTTCTAAAAATGAAATTGCCATCTCAGAGTATTACAATTACAGGTATTGTCGGATTGTCTTCAGTTTATATTTCTTATCAGGAATATATGAGAATTTCAGTGTACCTTTAACATCATTAACCATGCATGTTACCAAATTTTTACATCTTTCCAATCTAGTAGTTTATTTTTTCATTGGCATTTCTTTACTAGCCCAAATATATGTTAAAATTTGTGTCTCTAATGTTTTGTCTAGAAGCATTCCTATTCTAGAAAGTAATATCAGTCTTTTCACTGTGGAGTTTCATCCAGCTCAACATATGTGTATATTTTTGTCTGATGTCTTTTACAGTATTGCCCTCCAACACACCAAATGTTCGCAGAACTATGAGAACACGATCAAAACCTTTGGAATACTGGCGAGGGGAACGAATAAATTATCAGGGAAGGCCATCAGGTAAAATTTGTATTTTGGTGTCTCAAAATAAAAAATAATAATGATAATTGCTCTAATTTATTTAGGTATGTGTTGTGCCAGAAAAGTGAAAGTCACTCAGTTGTGTCTGATTCTTTGCGACCCCATGGACTGTAGCCTACCAGGGGATCTTGTTGACCTGAGGATCGAACCCGGGTCTCCCGCAGTGCAGGCAGAACCACCAGGGAAGCCAAGTACTGTATAACACTACAAGTATAACATTATCTTATTTAATCATCATCCTCCAATGGTGTGATAAGAATAGATTCAAGTCCATGTTTCTCTGATTACTATAGAGATGCTGATTTTTTTTTTCTCTTTGCTAGCAATTTGAAGTGATTGTGTAGTTTTATAGAGTGTTACCAGGTGGCTTTACTAGTGTCTCAGATGGTGAAGAATTTGCCTGCTATGCAGGAGACCCAGGTTCGATCCCTGGGTTGGGAAGATCCCCTGGAGAAGGAAATGGCAACCAACTCCATTATTTTTGCCTGGAGAATTCGGTCGACAGAAGAGCCTGTTGGGCTACAGTCCGTGGGGTCGCAAAGAGTTGGACATGACTGTGTGACTAACACTTAACCCAGGTGGCCTAGTGGTAAAGAATCTGCCCGCCAAAGCAGGAAACCCAGGAGATGCAGTAGGTTCGATCTCTGATTCAAGAAGATCTCTTGGAGGAGGAAATGGCAACCTACTCCAGTATTCTTTCCTGGAAAGTTCCATGGACAGAGGAGTGTAACAAGCCACAGTCCATGGGGTAGCAAAGAGTCAGATACGACTGAGCATGGAGCACATTATTTTTATACAATTCAATAAGATTTCTAATTGCATAAAATGAAACATTAGATCAGAACATGAGAAAATTTTAACTGGAAAAGATTAAATATTCCCCATTATTATTCTCATTCCATTTTCTTATCATATTTCGCTACAAAAATTATAGAGGGTGGGAAAGAAAATAGTGTTATATTAAAGTTACTTCCTTTTTTTTAATCGATATTTCTGAGTCAAAGGACTAAACTGACCTGGATTATTATAAATAGTTCATTGCTAATCTTTGTGTCCTTCATTTTTTGTACCTCCATTGATGACTATTTATTTCAAGCAATAGAGATCATTCAGTTATGTTTCATTAGTATGTCTAGATTTAGGATAGTGGTGATGGTTTAGTTGCTAAGTTGTGTCTGACTCTTGTGAGCCCATGGACTGTAGCCTGCTAGGATCCTCTCAGGCAAGATTACTGGAGTGGGTTGCCGTTTCCTTCTCCAGGGGATCTTCTGACCCAGGGATTGAACCCGGGTCTCCGGCATTGCAGGTGGATTTTTTACTGACTGAGCCACCAGATTTAGGTTAGTAGAGAGACTTAAGTGAAATTGGTTGCTATTTGTGTTACTTGAATTAGCTGTAGAGTAGTAATAATAATGTATTCTTCTGTGCTTTGAAAGGAAATGTGCTGTATTAATGTAATGAATTTTGTTTCAAGATTTTCACTTTGCTAGGTATGATAATTTACCTTTTCTGGGGTTAAATTTCAGGAGGATTTGTGATTGGTGGAATACTGTCCCCAGACACAGTATCATCTAAAAGGAAAGCAACAGGAAACTTGGGAAGAATCATTACAACAGCTAATAGGAAAAGAATCTGTCTTGAAAATGATGAAAGAAGTATGAACTTTTTCCTTATTTTAACTAACAGTGTTTTGAAAAATAGCTCTTTGCATATTTTGAAATATGCCTCTAGAGGTTTCAGAATATAATAGTACTTAAGGGTAAATTCTCTTTTTTGTTTTAAATTCTCTTTTTAATGTCTACTTTTCTTCAGATTTTGAAAGTAAACTGATTTTATTCTTTTTAAAAAATCTTTAATATCATAGTGTAAAACATTTCCACATGGGTAAATTGCACTGTCAAATGAAACTTATCTTGTCTATGCATCAAAGTGGTCATTGATAAACAGTAAGAAATATGCCTCTTCCATTCTCCTTTACAAACTTGTCCTTAGCTCTGTTTCATACTAGATTTTTTTTAATGGAAAAGAGTTTTAAGTAAATAGTATTTCAGTGATACTTCTTTTGCAGAGAATAAATTCATGGTAAATCTGAATATACCTCTGGGAGATCCTCTGCAGCCAACAAGGGTAAAAGACCCAGAAACACGAGAGACTGTTCTTATGGGTAAGCTCAGATTGATTCTGAGAATGCTTAATTTAATAACTAGTAAGGACAAACTGTTTGCTTAAGGCTGGCTTTTCTACTTTCCCTTTCTCTCATCAGATTTTTCAGAGCCAAAGTCCAATAGCAAGTCTGATTCAAATAAGTAGCCTGTATGAGGACTACTGTGGGGAAATTGATGGTAGACAACCTCCAGGGACATAGAGTACCATGCATTTGTCCTCTGTGATACAAGTGCTACCATCAGGAATGTTGCCTCCTCCAGTAGGATCCAGGCCTTCTTTATCAGGAGGACACTTGGGGACAAGGGCTGTTGAGGGGAAAAGTGAAAGTGAAAGTCACTCAGTTGTGTCCAATTCTATGCAACTCCATGGACTATACAGTCCATGGAATTCTTCAGGCCAGAATACTGGAGTGGGTAGCTTTTCCCTTCTCCAGGGGATCTTCCCAACCCAGGGATCGAACCCAGGTCTTCCACACTGCAGGTGAATTCTTTACCAGCTGAGCCACAAGGGGAGCCCAAGAATACTGGAGTGGGTAGCCTATCCCTTCTCCAGTGGATCTTCCCAAGCCAGGAATTGAACTGGGGTCTCCTGCATTACAGGCAGATTCTTTACCAACTGAATTATCAGGAAGCCCATTCAGGGGGAATTGTAGCAAACTAACTGGCAGACTCCTGGATACACTCTTACTGTGAGATCAGGTAGGGATTGTGGCTGGGTTTAGACAGCCTTTGGTGCTGTGTAGCAAGGACATCAGTCAGTCAAACAAATGTCATGTTTAAGGCAGACATAGGGTCCAAAAGCCTCCTCCTGCACTTAACAGGTACTAAACATTTAGTGTCTAGGATACCATTGGAGGTCCCAAGATATGGGCTATAGTGTGGTGGGGTTAAGTAGTGGACACTCAACTAATTCCCAACCAGGCAATATTTACATACAGGAAATACTTAAGTGTTTTAATAACTGTCAAGACTGTACTAGTGAGTACTGAGGACTATTTATCCTAAATCAAAAGATAAATATGTCAAAGCAGAGAGACAGTTTACTCTTAAAATTTTGATTGTGGAATAGGTTCCATTGATATCTTAAGTAGCAAAGATATTTCTATATTCAGTTGATTTGGCTATAGAGGGAAAAGTACAGAGAATTTTTTTTTAGCAAAGTGTCTTAACTGAAAACATTGCTATACTGTATTAGTAAAAAAGTTGTGTTTTCAGGAATTCATCACTTTTTGTTTGCTGAGCATACGTATTGTCTATATCGTGTCATCTGTGGGAGTATAGTCAGAAGCTGATGATAAAAAATGTATTAATTATACGTCTGGAAAAGTTTGTAAGTAAAAGGGAAATTTAAAAAATGATATAGTAATTTGGAAGCTACAGTTAGAACTCTGGTTATTTAGAGCCTCTACCTGATAAATAAAAAAATACTGTTACTTAATCAGTCACAAAGGTATTTATTGGTGTGATGATGATACATTTGTAGTGTGGCTATGTTATATTGAACTTTTTAAGAATAAGGAGTCTTTTCTTGTCTCTTAGCTGATTTTGTTTTCCATCTGAGTTATTATGGGGGAAATAATAATACTGCCATTGTTAATAATAATAAAATAATATTATTAGCAAAGTTTACTGAATGCTTACTTTGTACCAGTGTTTTAAATACTTTATACACATTAACTCATTTGATATTTCCAACTCTAACATAGATAAACTATTTTTATCACATTTTATAGAAAAGAAAATGAGATGGAGGATAAGCAACTTGGCTAAGGTCATTCAGCTTGGAAGACAAAGATATGATGTGACCTTTTTAGGTCCAGAGTCAGTGCTCCTAATCACATCTATCTTTCTAGGACAGGATGTTAAATGTTTTTATTTATGAATGTGTATAAGAGATGCAGGTTTGATCCCTGGTTTCAGAAGATCCCCTGGAGAAGGGAATGGCAACTCACTCCAGTATTCTTGCCTGGAGAGTCCCATGGACAGAAGAGCCTGGCTGGCTACTAACAGTCCACAGGGTCACAAAAAGTTGGTTGACTGAAGTGACTTATCATGCACACACATGTGTGTATATGCTATATGAATGAGCAATGTTATTGCTATTACTTTATACTTACATTAATTTTTTTCCTTTAGATCTTATAAGGCCACGAGATACATACCAATTTTGTGTTGAACATGATGAGTTGAAAGTATATAAAACATTGGATACACCGTTTTTTTCTACTGGAAAATTAATATTAGGACCAAATCAAGAAAAGGGAAAGCAGCATGTAGGCCTTGATACATTGGTGAGTACATTTCTCCATATATTGATATATATGTTTTGATCTTGGCACAACTTTGAGTTATTGGGCTTGATGAAGCATTAAAAATCTATTTTCTCAGAAATGATACTGTTACTATAGTACATAGGTAATTTTTTAGTTTTTTTCATCTGTTTAAAATCAGTCAACCAAAGGATATTTAAAAGTACTTGTAGTAGTGTAGCAGTGTAGCCTTCAGATTTAGAAGTTTAGGGAATGGTCTTAAAAATATCTTCAAAATTAGATTTGCAAACAAGTCATTAGGATTTTAGGGCTGGAGAGGTTTATTGAGATTAAGTCTAAATCTGATTTCTCCAATCATGGAAGTTTAGAAATAAAGCATTTAAAAGACTTCAAAATCATGTAACTGATTAACAGCAGATTGAGACTGGGAACTAGTCACTTCAATAAGTACTAAATAATGTATTACCTGGGTTTCCCCAGTAGCTTAGCTAGTAAAGAATCCGCCTGCAATGCAGCAACCCCTGTTCGCTCCCTGGGCTGGGAAGATCCTCTAAAAAAGGGATAGGCTGCCCACTCCAGTATTCTTGGACTTCCCTGGTGGCTCAGACAGTAGATCATCTGCCTGCAGTGTGGAGACCTGGGTTCTGTCCCTGCCTTAGGAAGATCTCCTGGAGAAAGGAAAGGCTGAAAGTGAAGGTGAAGTCGCTCAGTCATGTCCGACTCTTTGCAACCCCATGGACTGTAGCCTACCAGGCTCCCCTGTCCCTGGGATTCTCCAGGCAGGAACACTGGAGTGGGTTGCCATTTCCTTCTCCCTGGTGGCTCAGTGGTAAAGAATTGCTTGCAGTGCAGGAGATTGCCTGCAGTGCAAGAGACACGAATTCGATGCCTGGGTCAGGAAGATCCTCTGGAGAAGGAAATGGCAACCTGCTCCAGTATTCTTGCCCATGAACAAAGGAGCCTAGTGGGCTACAGGCCTTGGGGTCACAAGAGATGGACACAACTTAGCAACTAAACCACCACCACCACCACCACATAGCATGTAGAATCCAGGTCTAAAGTATTTAAAGGTTTTCTCTAATCCAGTCTTAAAATGTTGTAGATCTCCAGGTCATATTAAAAGAGTAAAAATAACATACTAAACTAACTGAAGTAATAGATAATCCCTGTGTAATCATTAAGAAACAGTTAATAATGAACATAAGCATTATGAAATGTCATCATTAAACTAATAGTATTAATACTATTAATAGTATTAATAAGATGTAATGTTTTTATTCCTTTAGAAGGAAGGAATATTGAATATCTAGTAAATATTTGAAAATGTTTAACCTGTCTAACATTCAAAGGAATCCTTATTAAAAATAAGGCATACTTTATAATTACTGAGTTTAGTAGACATTTTTGGATTTATAATTTGTAGACTTAATAACTATAACCTATAACTGATTTGTAGACTTTCACTTATGAATGCCATTTTAGAATTTTTCCCTAGGAAAATAAAAGCTAGGGAACCTGAACATAGGTAATTATTTATTTTAACATTGAGAGTAATTTCTGACATTGGAAACCACTGAAATGTGCTGTGGAAAGAAAATGCTTACATGTATCTTTTGACTTAGTAATGAAATAAACCATTATATATAATAATCTGGAGGAGGAAATGGCAACACACTCCAGTATTCTTACCAGGAAAATCCCCTGGACAGAGGAGCCTGGTGAGCTACGGTCAGTGGGGTCGCAAGGAGTCAGACACGACTGAGGCAGCTTAGCACACACACATATTATAATCGGTTATATAGCACTTACATATTCCAGGTATCGTATGAAACATTTTGAAGAATAACTGTATTGGAAGAATTTTCTATCTGCAGTTTGGTTAAATGTTTATCCTTAAAGGTTAATCCTTAAATGTTTATCTTGCAAATTGCAAGATAGAACATCCTTTTTGTTTTTTTCTGACTAAAATAAAAATTGAAAATGACAGAAATTTGAAGGAACTATAGAAAAATAACATGTTAGTAGGTGATTATAGTTTATTTTTATTTCTTCTAAATATTGCCTTTAACTTTTTATAATGAAAATCAGAGTTAAATTTTTTAATAATGGGAATATTTTTACATTTTTGAAAGAATGAAGCACACTTTTAAATATATGCTTTTGAGAAGCAAAAGGGCAAGATGGAGAACCACTAATAAGGGAGAAAGTAGCAGTGGTAGATTTAGTAAAATCAAACCACAGAGAAATTAACAAATTAACTGTGGGAGTTGTGGAGCTTTCCTAGAAGACAAGAGGATATTAAGAAATGGAAAATATTAAAGTTAGATGATATGGAAGAACAGGTTAAAACAGAATCGAGAAAAAACCCAAATGAGCAAAAGGGAGAAATATTTGAAAAAGTAGACAATAATTGTTCCAGAACTAAAAGACCAAAAGGTGACACAGCACACTTAAAGGAACCAGAGTTCCTTAAGAAATGTCTGATCCCAGGCCTGGGACTAAGCTTGGAATATTTTATCATATCTGATAGCAAACTATCAAAAACCGTTAGGATTGGGTCATAAGGTTTCAGAATCCAGCTTGAAGATGCTTTCTCTGGACAAAGATGTGAAAACTTGAGTATCAATAAGAATAACTTCATTGGGTTGATAGATATCAATTATATCTAAATCCATGAATTTGTAAGACTACTACAAAAAGAAAAACTTATTTCATCGCTGTTGGCAAATACTATGACAACTCTGACAACAAATATGGCAAATAAAGAGAAATAATTAAACATTTATTCTGCTGTTCTCATATAAACTGTACTACTAGGTAACCAAATAATAGAGGAAGGGAAGTTTACCCTTTTAGAAATATTCCAGTTAATAAAAGAAGGAATGTTAGGATGGATTATTACCATTTTACAACACCCAATAAACTGATGGATATAGCATCATCATATACTAACATCTAAAAAGAACACAGCCAAACATTATGTGCCTCCTATGGAAGAATACAACACTGCATATGAAATAGTCCTGTCTTCCCCACCTCCTTTAAAGAACAAAACAAAACCTGCATATAACACCACCTGAAGTTAAGTCCTTGGATCTAACAACCAATTTATAGGAAGTAAAGAATAGCAGACTTTACAAATGACACCCTGGGTTTACCCAGCAAAATCTAGCTGTGCAAAGATTTTTAAAACAAATTTTGCTGCTTGATTTACTTACTAAATAAGATGCAAGGGATAAAAAAGACAACCAAGTGGAATGTACAGAGATCAGGGTTCTCAACCACGGCACTGTCGACATTTTGTTACCCTGTGCCTTGTAAGATGTTCACAAGCATCTCGGGCCTCTCTGCACTAGATTCCAGGAGTGCTCTAGTGTGACAATTAAAAGTGTGCACAGACAGTACTACTTGTCCTCTGAGGGGCAAAATCACCCCCAGATTGAGAACCATGCCATAGACTGAGTGTTTTAAAAGATAGGTCAAGCACTGACCGTAGATTAAGCACTGACTCTTCGTTGGATCCCAATTGAAACAAATCCTTTTTTTTTTTTTTTTAACAAATGAAAAAGAAAATTTTATTTTATTAAATTATTAACAACAGCTCTTATTCAAAAGACTATAAAGAAAGCTTAAGCAAAGAAAGCTTAAGCTAAAACTAGGACAAAATACTTGCCATATAGATAACCAACAAGTAATTAGTATCCAGAATGTAAATATTTTAAAATGTCAAAGAAAATGATAACTCAATAGGAAAGCAGATATGTTATTAAAAAAAATATTTTACAGAAGTGAAAACTTAAGAAGCAAATAAGCATGTACTAAAAATGCCCATACTCTCAGTGAAAAACAAATCAAGGAGTTATACATTCAATTTAATTCCATTTATATAAATTCAGAAATATACAAAATTAAAAAGTTATTTTTTAAAGATCCATTTTTGCCTGGTAAGAACTGTAATGAAAACAAGAGAATAATAAATATAAAATTCAGGACATTGGTTATCTCCATGGATATTTACGAGACAATTGGAATTTTGAATATTCAAATTAAAATTTAATATTAATACTAAATATTTATTTTTATGTGACAACAGTGTTGTCGTGTTTTAAAAGAGGACTTTGATCTTTCAGTACACATTGAAATACTTACAGGTGATTATGGTGCTGGGCATTCATTTCAAAATAATATGGGATAGGGAAAACAGATTTTGAAGAGAGGGTTATTGGGATTTGATATTTATTTGTGGGAGAGTGTCATTCTGTTTTTGTGTATTTCAAAAGCATTCTTAGTAAAATGTTTACAGAAATGGGGAGAGGTATGCTTTGAGAGCCAAATTGAATAGACAAGCAAACAACGTTTAGAAACGTATACTTGACCTCTGGGTATAGTGTGTGTTACCTTTTTTTTTTTTTTTAAAGGCTATTTTTGGTATATAATAAACATTTATTTCTTTTATTAAATTATAAAAGTACCTTTAGAACCACTTTAAGAACTTTTTTTTCCTTTGAGGGAGTATATTGTAGTGACTAAGAACATGGATTCTGGAGTCAGAGTACCTGAGTTCAAATTCCTGCTCTTCCATTTACATTGTGACCTTGGAAATATACACTTTTGTGTCTCATCTCCTTCATTTGTGAAAAGCTCTTAAGATAGTGCTGTCTCACTGATAGATGCATACATTAAATGAATAAAAATGAAGTGCTTAGAACAGTGTCTTGCATGGTGTGGGTGCTGTATAAGCTCTATCTGCTCTTCTTTTTCTGGTATTTTAGGCTCATTTTACAAAAGTGGTAAGAAAAGGAGGAGCAGGAGGCATAATTCTCTGAAGCAAATATTCTTGATGGCTAAATCTCAGAATTTGAATATAAAAGTTTGAGGGCCCTACATTTTGTATTTAGTTGTCAAAATAAAACATTATTATCAGGTGCTATCTCTGTGTAAAATGTAAAATTTGCCCTGCTTGACTATGGAAGCCTGTACAATTGAGCACTACATTTATCCTCTTTTACTTTCTTAATGTTGATGCTTTAAGTGTACTTAAAAAAATTTTTTTATTGATCTTTTAGATTCATCAGTCAGCTTAAATTACATATACCAAAGCATGTAACCTTTATAGATATACATAAAACCTAGCTACTATTCTTAAGTGATGTTCTTTACAATGGTTCTGAATTTAAAAAAACAGTAAATAATAACAAAAGAAATTTCTGGTATTAGTTTTCTGTATTACTGCTTTACTTAATTACTACACAATTTAAACAACATTCATGTGTTATCTCATAGTTGTATAAGTTAGAAATTGGGTGGGCTTGACTGAGTTCTCTGCTTAGAGTATCACTAGGCTAGAATCAAGATGTCCAGAGATCTATATTCCTCTCTGAATGCTCTTAGAATGAACCTGCTTTCAAATTCATTCAGTTTGTTGGCAGAACTCAGAATTGTAAGACTGAGGTTCCTGGCCAAGGTGTCTAGAAATAGCTTACACTCCTTGGTTCATGACTGTCTTATCTTCAGCACCAGCAACAGTGAAAGTACTTTTCATGCTTCAGATTTCTCTAACTTCTCTGCTTCATCTTCCCTCTGCTTCCAGTAGGAAAATTACTCACTTTCACATAAAGTTTATGACTAGATTGGACCATTATTCTGCCTTCAATGTTTACTTTAAGTTTCTTTGGAGTGTAGTTGTATTACAATTTGAAATTGAGATTTTAATTTTTAATTTTCCAGGTTTTTTATGTTAATCTTGGTCACCTTTTATGTACCTTACATGAAACACCTTATATAATAACAACTGGGGATTCATTCTATGTTCCTTCAGGTAAGAGTAATTAAAAACTTTTTCTTTCACATAGTTAAATACTTGTATAGCTGTTCATGAACACCATGAAGATGGAAACCACAATGGTCAAAATGAAGCATGATGCAACTGATGTCAAACGTTTTGGTGCATATTTTAATTTTTTTGTTTAGATAAATGTTGGTATATAAGTATTTTGATACATGGAAATTGAATAAGAGTTGCTAATTGCTGAATATAAAAATACTTAGTTAGGAGATATGTTGTCTCCAGTGTAGAAGGAAAATTATTTCCCCTATGCAAGGACATTATATAATCAAACAATTTTTAGTTGGTTATTTTAAACATACAGAATAGTGTCCTTCATCAGCTGTTGAAGAGCAAAAGTCTTTGAAGTAGGAGTTTAAGTTTGTTCATTCATTCATTTAACAAATGTGATTAAGAGTCTACTAAACATTGCTTTGAAAGCGGGATACATAAATGATCAAACAGGCAAAAAATCCCTGCCCTTGTGGAGCTTATATTCTAATGAAGAAACAAAGCTATAATAATAGCTAAGTTTATGTAGTCCTTTATATGTGCCAACACTGTTGTGAACAGTTTAAACTCATTAACTAAGTTAATCCTAATATGTATGAATTTCTAATAAAAAGTGTAAGAAAAGTCACAGTATTGTACTCAGCACTATAAATTTGCCTTATGCACAGCTGTCCATGTGTATTTTGCATTTGCTGTTATTTATTATATAATTTATTTGAGTTACATTTGCTGCCTTTTAACTTTGAAATTTTATTTTACATTTATACTCTACTTATCTTTTATAAGTATCTTTTATACTTATCTGTATATTGTCTATGTCTTGTTTAGAGGAATCCATAGTGGTTCCAGAGACCTAATAATTGTGTTCAGTAAGTTAGACAAAGACAGGTACTGTTTGTTTTCATTTATATGTGGAATCTAAAAAATAAATGAATATAACAAAGCAAGAACAAGAGTCATAGAGAACAAACTAGTGGTTACCAGCAGAGAGGGATAAAGGGAAGGGACAAGATAGAGGAAGAGGAATGAGGTACACACTGCTAGGAAAATAAAAAGATAAAACAAGGCTGTGTAGAAAATATTTTATAATTTCAAATAGAGTATAGTCTGCAAAAATAATTGAATCACTGTTGTATGCTTGAAACTAAGATAACATTGGAAATCACCTAAATCACCTATACTTCAGTTAAAAACAACCACCTCAAAACATGATTGGGCTCAGAGAGAGATTTTTTTTTTCCTACCTACACCTTTGTCTAATTTGCTTTTGCATTCATTATTAGAATGACGTGAAGTTTGTTTGTGTTTTTTCAAGCTTTATCTAGATCATAGGTGGTGGTTAACTGTTAGATTTTTCAGTTTGTAGAATTAGATAAGAGTTATTTGAAGTTAGATGAGTTAGTTTTTTTGACACTATATATTGTAACTGACATAGTGATGACTAAATATTTAATCAAAAGGAAATGATTCCTATGGAAGTAATTTTTAATTTTCTTATTTTATTTCTAGGTAATTATTACAACATCAAAAATCTCCTGAATGAGGAAAGTGTTCTTCTTTTTACTCAGATAAAAAGTTGAAAGATGAAGCAAAGTTTAAGTACATGTGTATATATATAAACATACATACATATAAAACACATTGTGCAGTTGAGATGGGTATATTTGTAATTGTTAAGTTTTAAAATTTCTGTGTTGTATATTTGTTTCAGTAAACATCAAACTTCTGTATGTATCTTCTAATTTTTACAGATATACACATCACCTGTAGTGTTGCCCATATTCATAGTTTTTAATAACATGAATACCAAAATCACTGCTCTCGGGGATATACAGACAAACCTTGGAAATGTCATGGGTTTGATTCCAGACCACCACAATAAAGCAAATATTGTAATAAAGTGAGTCATGAATTTTCTGATTTCCCAGTGTATATAAAAGTTATATTTACATTATGCTATCATCTGTTAGGTGTGCAATAGTTTTATGTCTAAAAATTAATGCATATACCTTAAGGAAGCTAACCATTATTGATTCCTTCAATGAGTCGTCATCATTTTTCTGGTGGTGGGTCTTGGCTTGATGTTGATGGCTGCTGACTGATCAAGGTAGTGGCTGCTGAAGTTTGGAGTGGCTGTGGCAAGTTTTAAAAATAAGACAGCAACTTTTTTCTAGTTACTGTGGCACAAGGCACCATGAGCAGCGAAGTCTCCTGTGACACTCTGTATGGAGACAGTGCAGAAAGTCCTGCATTGAAATCAACACAAGTGTCAAAATGTTCTGAAAATGGTGGATCTTCAGATCAGCCTGAAGAACTGTGACCTCAGAAGAACAAACACTTCTCAGCACCGTCAGGCTTAAGTTCATTCCCCTTACCAAGTTCTCTGTATATGTTCTGGGAGAACAGCAGCACTGTGATGAGTCTAAGACTGTGGATAAATCTCCCACATGAACATCAAGGCACTGAAGAAACTCAATAAGAATAGAAAATGGGTCAAGAAGCTAGCCAACAAGTATGACTTTTTGACTCCAGAACCTCTGTTTAAGCAGGTCCCACAAATCCTGGGCCCACACCTGAATAATATTGGCAAATTCCCTTCCTTGCTGACCCAGAATGAGAACATGATGGCCAAAGTTGATGAAGTAAAGTCCATGATCAAGTTTCAGAAGAAGAAGATGCTGTGTCTGTTAGTGGCTGTTGGCCATGTGAAGATGATGGATGATGAGCTTGTGTACAGCATCCACTTAGCTGTTAACTTTCTGGTATCATTGCACAAGAAAAGCTAGCAGAATGTCCAGTTTTTGTACATTAAGAGCACCATAGGCAAGCCCCAGCATCTGTATTAAGGCACAGCTTAACTGCCTTAAGCCAGTTAATGATGCTGCAACCATTAAAAAAAAAAATCCACACTGATCAATTGCTGCATCTATTGACTTCCTTTCCCAAATGATTTCTCTGTAACATGCCAGTGTTTTTTGATAGTTTTCCATATAGAAGAACTTCTTACAAAATTGTAGTCAGTCCTCTCAGATCTTGCTGCTGCTTTATCAGTGATAAAATTTGAAACTCTTTGTTGTCATTTTAAACAATCCTGTCATTTTGACAGTCTTTCTGACATTTTCACCTGGAATAAATTCCATGTCAAGAAACAACCTTCTGTTCTCATCCTTAAGCAATCTTGATCTTAAGATATCTTAGGATATTGTAGCAATTACCACATTGCTTCAGACTCCACTTTTGATTCTAGTTCTCTTGCTGTTTCCACCACATCTTCAGTTCTTCCTCCACTAAAATCTTGAACCATTCAGTCATCCATGAGGGTTGTGATCAAATTCTTCCAGACTTCTGTGTTCATGTTGATATTTTGACCTCTTACCATGAATCCTGAATGTTCTTAATGGCATCCTTTCCATAAGGTTTTCAAATTGTTTTGTTCAGATCCACTGGAGAATTCATTATGGCAGCTATTGTTCAGTAGCTAAGTTGTGTCTGATTCTTTGTGACCCAATGGACTGCAGCCCACCAGGCTTCCCTGTCCTTTGTTTTCTCCTGGAATTTGCTCAGACTCATGTCCTTTGAGTCAGTTATGCCATCCAATCATCTCATCTGCTGCTGCCTCCTCCTCCTGCCTTCAATCTTGCCCAACATCAGGGTCTTTTCCGGTGAGTCAGCTCCTTGCATCAGGTGGCCAAAAGTTTTGGAGCTTCAGCATCAGTCCTTCCAATGAATATTGATGGTTGATCTCCTTTAGGATTGACTGGTTTGATTTCCTTGCTGTCCAAGGGACTCTCAAGAGTCTTCTCCAGCACCACAATTTGAAAGCATCAGTTTTTCATCACTCAGTCTGCTTTATGGTCCAGCTCTCACATCCATACATGACTACTGGAAAAACCATAGCTTTGACTAGATGGACCTTTGTTGGCAAAGTGATGTCTCTGATTTTTAATACACTGTTTAGCATCTTGATACACAGTGTTCAGTTCAGTCACTGAGTCATGTCTGACTCTTTGTGACCCCGTGAACTGCAGCATGCCAGGCCTCCCTGTCCATCACCAACTCCTGGAGTTTACCCAAACTCATTTCATTGAGTCGGTGATGCCATCTAACCATCTCATCCTCTGTCATCCCCTTCTACTCCTGCATTCAATCTTTCCCAACATCAGGGTGTTTTCAAATGAGTCAGCTCTTTGCATCAGGTGGCCAAAGTATTGGAGTTTCAGCTTCAACATCAGTCCTTTCAATGAACCCCAGGACTGATCTCCTTTAGGATGGACTGGTTGGATTGCCTTGCAGTCCAAGGGACTCTCAGGAGTCTTCTCCAACACCACAGTTCAGAAGCATCAATTCTTCAGTGCTCAGCTTTCTTCACAGTCCAACTCTCACATTCATACAAGACTACTGGAAAACCACAGCCTTGACTAGACAGAACTTTGTTGACAAGGTAATGTCTCTGCTTTTAATATACTGTCTAGTTTGGTCATAACTTTCCTTCCAAGGACTAGGTCTCTTTTAATTTCATGGCTGCAATCACCATCTGCAGTGATTTTGGAGCCCCCCAAAATAAACTTAGCCACTGTTTCTCCACTGTTTCCCCATCTATTTGCCATGAAGTGATGGGACCAGATACCATGATCTTAGTTTTCTGAATGTTGAGCTTTAAGCCAACTTTTTCACTCTCCTCTTTCACTTTGATCAAGAGGCTCTTTAGTTTTTCTTCAGTTTCTGCCATAAAGGTGGTGTCATCTGCATATCTGAGGTTACTGATATTTCTCCTGGCAGTCTTGATTCCAGCTTGTGCTTCATCCAGCCCAGAGTTTTTCATGATGTACTCTGCATATAAGTTAAATAAGCAGAGGGACAACATACAGCCTTGATGTACTCCTTTTCCTATTTGGAACCAGTCTGTTGTTCCATGTACAGTTCTAACTATTGCTTCCTGACCTGCATACTGATTTCTTAGGAGGCAGGTCAGGTGGTCTGGTATTCCCATCTCTTGAAGAATTTTCCACAGTTTATTGTGATCCACACAGTCAAAGGCTTTGGCATAGTCAATAAAGCAGAAATAGATGTTTTTCTGAAACTCTCTTACTTTTTTGATGATCCAGCAGATGTTGGCAATTTAATCTCTGGTTCCTCTGCCTTTTCTAAAACCGACTTGAACATCTGGAAGTTCATGGTTCACATATTGCTGAAGCCTGGCTTGGAGAATTTTGAGCATTACTTTGATACACGGTGTAGAGTTGCTATAATAAATTAACTAAAATGCCCAGTTTTCAACCATAAATGGAAAGGAATAGTGTGAAACATACTAAGAGGAAAAGGCAGCAGTTAATGGAAACTGAGTCTGTATGGCCTAGATGATAGGTTAGCAAAGACTTCAATTAAGAATTAATAGATAAGCTCAAAAAAACACAAAATTTTAAAGTGAGTCAACAAAAAAATGTATAAATAACATAATCCATAGAGAAATATAGACTAAAAAATAATCAGACTTAAATTATAGAGTTAAAAAGCATGGCTAAATTAAAAATAAAAATTATGGGCTCAATAGCAAATAGCAGAGATATTTTGGGATAGCAGAGATCATTTATATGAAGGTATATCAATAGAAAGTGCTCAGGGCTGGTGCACTGGGAAGACCCAGAAGGATGGGATGGGGAGGGAGGTGGGAGGGGGGCTCAGGATGGGGAACACATGTAAATCCATGGCTGATTCATGTCAATGTATGGCAAAAACCACTATAATATTGTAAAGTAATTAGCCTCCAACTAATAAAAATAAATGAAAAAAAAAGTGAAATCTAAAAAGTATACAAAGAATTTAAACAGATTGAAAAAATGAACAGAACCCCCGAAAACCCGTGATACAAGCATTCCAACAAGTGTAATGGGAGTTGGGGAAAGAGAGGAAAGAGGGGACAAAATTTTTATATTTTAATTTCATGTCTTCTGTCAGTGATTTTTGGAGCCCAGGAAAATAAAATCTGTCACCGTTTACACTTCTATTTGTCATGAAGTGATAGGACTGGATGCCATGATCTTAGTTTTTTGAATTTTGAGTTTCAAGTGAGCTTTTTCACTCCTCTTTCACCCTCATCAAGAGGCTCTTTAGTTCATCTTCATTTTCTGTCATTAGACTGGTATCATCTGCATGTCTGAGGTGGTTGTTGTTTCTCCTGGCAACCTTGGTTCCAGATTGTGATTCATCCACACCTTCATTTTGCATGATATACTCTGCATAGAAGTTAAGTAAGCAGGGTAACAATATACCTGGTGCTGCACTCAGTGTGTCAGTAAATTTGGAAAACTCAGTGGCCACAGGACTGGAAAAGGTCAGTTTTCATTCAGGTCCCAAAGAAGGGCAATGCCAAAGAATGTTCAAACTAATGTATAATTGCTCTCATTTCGCATGCTCACAACCAGTGAAAAATGGAATAAAGCATTGCACTTGTCATATTTTTCTTAGCTGTGGAAATTTAAACATGAATGAAAGTAAAAGCCCATCTGGCTGTTACCAAAGTTCAACTTACACTTTGTCTAAATTCACTGAGAACACTTTCTCCCCTGAATTCCAAAACCAT